AAAAAGGAGAAAAAGATGAGTGGTAGTCTCGCCGATGATCACATCCTAAAAGCTGTCCGGTAATCACTCATCCTAAAAAATGCCCCTTACCGGACTAGCCAAATGACCTCTTCAGGTCACTCGAGTACAACTTGCGAAATGGAAAACATAGAACACCTTAATTTTAGCAAAAAAAACAGCCCCCAATACTTTTCCCAGATATTTGTACGAACATGGCCATTACCGCATGATCGCGTCTTTCGCAACTTGGACTACGGAATTGAAAAAGGCTAGACGGAGGTTTTTGTGAAACACCGTTGGAGAAATGGTCGAATTTTCCAGTGGTGTTTCACAAAACAAAGTGTGATTGGTTTATGGAGTGACGCCTGTCAAAAGATGCAGATGCCGAATTTGGAGTCCGTGCCAGGACGGCAAAAGTAGGACCGCGACAGATATTGCCGAGGCTTGAAATTACTGCTGGTCTAAGCTAGCTAGAGTACCTTTCATGTACGGTAACTTCATGTACGGGTTTAAGCTAGCTACGGTAACTTCATGTACGGTAACTTCATGTACTATTATTAGGCATTTTGAATCTGTCTCTGACTTGGGTCTGCAGTTTTTGTACCTAGGGTCAACAACAGTTTTAAATTCTGAAATATGTATCCGACACAGATCAGCTCCACGTGCATTTTAGTCATTAGCAATTAGCATCCAACACTGTTTTCCCTCTCTCTCTCTACATGCAAATCCCTTTTGCTTGCTGCCTCTCACACCCTTCCCTACCACAAACTTTTCTTCTGGGCAGCAGATCTTTTACCATTTTTTTTATGTTAATAACAAATGTTACAAATCAGACAAATCCTTCATCAACCCGCGCATTTCTTCTTAAAAACCACCAGTACTTGGCCCAGCTATTGGCCGCGGAAAAAAAAAAAAGAGTAGAAACATTTCTAGTCGGATGAATTTGGGCGCTCCTGTACTGGCCTGTACGTTTCCTAAAATCGTGGCGCTTTAATGGGCCCGACTCGAGGAAGTACTGGTGGTTTAATTTCTAGCAGCGCCATAGACAAAACTTCACGAAAGAGGAGATCACTCTTCGCGGAACCAAACCAAAAGTACAAAAACTTAACAAATGTTACAAATCCTTCATCAACCTGCGCAAGTACAAAAACTTGACAAATGTTACAAATCCTTCATCAACCCGCGCATTTCTTCTTAACCTCCAGCAGCGCCATAGACGAAAGAGGAGATCACTCTTCGCGGAACCAAACCAAAAATAGAAAAACTTGAAAAGAAGTCTAAAGACTATAAAGACTCTAAAACTGAGTACGGATCCGGGCCGCCCGGTCGACTAGCGCCTGCCCGGGGATGGTCCCGGGCGGGCGGCCCGGTTGGGGGCCGGGCACCCCCAGCACACCTTGTCGGGGGGGGGGTTCAGACCCCGAATCGCCGTCAGCTGGGGTCCATAGGGCCTACCGGGTCCGACCAGGCCTGAAAAAAGGCGAGTCGGGCCCATGAGGCCAACTTTTTTTTTTTGAAATTGTGACGGCCCTCTGGCCGTCGATCATCCATGATCGACAGCCAAAGGGTCGTTTGATGTTTGGAGGGAAAACGACGACCCGTTTGAACAGCCGACTGGCTGCCGCGGCCTGCATCGGCTGTCCAAACGGGGCCTTGGTCTTCCCCCGCCGCCGCAGTTCGTGGTTCAGCCGCCCGTCGTCATGGAGCCGCCCGTTGCCATCGCCTGGGAGCTTCACTCCCCCGTCGCCGTGGACCTGCCCGTCGCCCGTCGCCAGCATCTTGGAGTCGCCAGCGCCGTGGAGCCGCCCGTCCCCCTCTCATCATCATCATCTTCTTCTTCTTCTTCTTCTTCTTCTTCTTCTTC